CCCCAAAACCCCAAAACCCCAAAACCCCAAAACCCCAAAACCCCGCTTTACAAGAATAAAATGGAAAGGAAACTAAATATTGAGTAACTAAAGTATTATCTACTCAGTTTTCTTCTGTTGGGGATCTGGGTCGTTTCCCTTCTGCTGATCTTGGTCGCTCTGCTTCTGCCTATAAGGACACTAGATTAGCCATCTATCCTAAGGGTGGCGTACCTTTTACGCTTCCTCTGCATGAAATCCGTTTGGTCACTGCAATATCTTATTTTAATCTTCTTTGAGCTGAAATAAGATGGCATTTGCTGATGGATTTCAATATCTAAAGGTAATTTAACCAATGCGGTCTTCAAGAAACTACCTCTGGGAAGGAGGATAGAGTTAGCTTAGAGAAATTAAGAGAGGGCTTACCACAATCGGTGTCAACTATCTTTTGCATTCTTTTAAGGTTCCTTTTTAAGAACACCTTTGGAGCAGCTATGGATAGCTCAGGTGTAGGATCCTCGTTATCTTCTCCAGCGACTAGCCCAGAGTAAATCTCCTCATGGATCCCGTACTGCATGTAATTTTCACGGTAATCGTTTAGGTCCTCTAGAAGCCGAGAGCTCGTCAGGGGCTTCTTCATGTCGAAGTAGTGAACGGATATTATCCTGCTAATAGGCGAGTACATTATTCTACAAGTATGGCCATTGGAAGAGCTCATTTCATTCAAACTATTCTTGTACTCTCAGAAGTATAGCTCATGCCTAAGAGTTGTTAGAAATATTTACTTACAGTTTATTCCTTTGGTCACCACCTAGCTTGTTATATTTCTGATATAGGTTAAAAGCTGCTGATTTCTGATACTCTTCGTTAAACAGACTATGAAATGCTTTGCTGGCAACTCCGATAAGCTTATCAAAAGTAAAGAAAAAGAATGCCTTGACGCCTAAGAATACTCTAATTAGCTCTTCAAAAGTAGTCGTGTCCAGCTTTGACTTAGACTTAGTAATAGCGATACCTATCAGGATTGCCAAGCGGTGCCTGGATACCTTCTCTTTAATAGTTGTTTCGTCTCCAACATGGTCACCTGCATTTCCATTACTTTGTTCTTTAAGTCCTCTGTTTTCTCTAATTCTATCCTGAGACTTCATGTATCCTTTGTAAGAATGAAGGACAGCATCTTTGTTCTCAATGAAATCCTGCTCTACCTTATCCTCTATGATTTTCTTAGCAAGCCTGATTCTTTCATACATCACGAATAGACACTTGAGGAAAGGGTAATGATGTGGACTTCCAAACATCACACTGTATTCTTTATTTGAAATATGGGATGAATTGTTCATTCTCTATCTTCTCAGACTCTGGCTTTTGATCTTCAGGATCAATCATGATTGTAGATCCATCGATGGTTGGGTCCTCATTTGCTGGGCTAAGCTTGAAACAATCTAGCTCGATTAGCTCAAGGAATGTCTGGTTCTCAGCATCTGCAAAGGTAAGACAGTCGTTGAATTTCTTCTGAGTCGGGCTATCTGACTCATGATCTTTGTCATCTGCTGACATTTCTTGGCTTTCTCTATCCTCCTCTTGTTTATTGAGGATATGGGGAGCTAGGATTCCTACCAAAATGTCTCTATCACTATCGCTAAACTCGCAGCAAGATACATCATCTGGGTTTTTACAGTTTAGCCCAAACATAGAAATATATCCTCTCAAGTACTCAGAGTGATTATTATGAGAAGATGGAAGAAACTTCAGGATTGAAAAGAGAATCTTTATAGCTATCTCAAAGCTATACTGATCGCTCACCTGCATTCTATAAGTTGGAAGCTTCTCTGGATGTGCCTTCAGCTCATTACTTTTCAGTGTCATTGGATCATCTTCTACCTCAACAGGTACAAATGGGTTATCTCATGCTTTAAAGGTGTTCATGAGAGACAATAGATCTTCCTCACTAAGTTGGTTACTGAGGTGGTTCTGATATCTTTCCTTGGCTTCCTTAAGCATGGCCTTTGGGACAATTTCCTTATTTTTCAGCTGTTTTAAAATGGTATGAACGGTTATCAAGGGCCTTGGCCCAGTGCTCTCTAGACTGTTTTCTCCATTTATTTCTGTCTATCTTTCTTCTGCTCGCTCCAGTTTCGATGATTTTTAGTCAGCCGTTCTAGGATGATATCGAATACTACTGAGTTGTGAAGGTTCAAGAAGTTGTATCGAGGATCGGTCTTCGTATCCTCATCAGTACAATTGTAAATATGCCTGATCCATTTTAGCTGAGGTTTCTTGACATACTTGTCTCTTAACTCAATAATCTTTTCTCCAGTCAAGCTTGCTCTTTCTGATTCGTCTAAATTTTGATGATGGTTCTTTAGCTTCTGAAGTGCATTAATAGTGCTCTCAGTCATGCCGAGGTAGGAGTCCATCTCATAACGTTCATCTTCTACTAGAAATAGCTGTTCTTCACTTGAATTTCTCAAATGAAATGAGAAGTACTCTGAACCACGAGGGACAGACACATATTTACTATTCAAGCATTCTTGCTCAATGAATTCCATCCCACTACATATTAGTTTGTGGAAGTCGCTTGGAAACGAGGTGTAACTCTTATCAATAATTGCACAATCTATGGACACGATGATAATAATTGCTTACCTGAAAGGGAAAATTCTGAAATAGGCTTAGTGAACCAAGAGAGTTGCCTCCTGTTATTTTCCCTACTGTAAATCAAGTTTAAGAATTGATCTCTCAAGTCACTGTTTACTGGGAAGTGGTCCTGAATAAGCTCATTTAACTCATCTGCTCCAATGACTCCCTATAATTGGAACTTTTTGTCTTACTTCTGAGTAGAGATTGAGAATTTTGACGATATCATCGTATTTACATTTCTAAAGTTAGAATATGCAGAGTACTTTCTTGAAGGAATTAAAGATTTTCTCAAAAAGGCTTGCTTCAATCTTATCAAATTGCTTATTTCCTGAAGCGCCAGCATACATAATCGTGCTAATTTTGGGAGTAATTTCTTGAATCCTTTGCCTAGAGTACTCGGACCTAGCTTCTGCTTGAGAGGTCTCATCCTCCTCTTGCTCAACTGGCTCCTCTGGTTCACTATGCTTCTCTTCAGATTCTTTTTGTTCAGAGTCTTTTTCTGAGAAATTTCCAATCATAATATCAGTGTTCATAGGAACAGGTTCTTCTCTAACCTCTTCAACTTCTTGACTCTACAGATTAGGAAGGAGAAAATACTGAGACAGACTCTGCAGGCTCACGTTCAATGTCTTTTTCAGTGATCAATCACTGGTTATTTTATCTTCTCATAAACCTCAGGGTTGCCTGAAAGAATGTCCTTCATTGCTAGAAGTTTCTATTCAAATAAAATTAAACATTATGAATGATTTTCACTTTAAAATGAGCAAATAGATCTTAAGCTGGTAAATTTCACTCACCTCGTTATCATTGATGTTGGTGCTGAACAGAATAGACTGGATTTTATCAATTTTGTCTGGAACAGATGTCTATAAGGAATAAAATAGTATCTCTTACCCTTATCTGACTGAGTAATAGCGTATAACCTTGGAGTGTAGACTTCTATAAATAATTTTCAAAACATACTTCATTGATATCATATCTCCTCATTGATTCAGGCACGAGTCTAAATTAGGTCATATAGTTGCTCTCCAGAACTAGTAAGCGCACTTTGACTTATCTCAGGGAGGCAGGAATAGGATCCTGCTGTCTCTCAGAAAGGAAGAAATTAGTAACGTACCCATTAAACATATCAATAAGAGGTCTGAATTCACTTCCTTTTGGGATTACAGTGTATCAACTCTGGTATGTTTGTATCAAATCAATCCTACACAATAATAATGTTGGCTTACTTCTTCATGTCATATTCAGCCAAAGTGGTGAGGAAGATCTGCAAGCTTTTGTCATCAATTGAGTCAACTAGTTTGAAGTAAAACTCCTTTGCATTTTCATGTATTTTCTTGTCCTTATTCTATATCATCCAAAATTAGTATGGAGGATGCATCGAATGGATATTCTTCAGAATTTGTTAGGTTTTGAGAGTATTTCACATAAATTTAGCTAATTTTGTCAGCTCTTGCTGCTAATAGTCATGACCAAGCTTTTCCATGCTGAGGAAGCTGATTTTGTATAAGAAATAGGCCAAACTTTGACAAATCCTATCTGACCAAAATAGGGTTACTTTGAAAAATACTGAAAATTTAAAATAAAATAATGAAGTGAAAGTAATGAACCATTTTTAGAATCCGTCTGAACTTTCTTTCCTAAAAATTTTGAAATTTTAAAAATTCCTGAAAATCTCCCAGACTGTTGCCTGTTTTGGGCGTATTGTACCGTAAGAAGGACATTGTCTCTTGATGTCTAGAAGGGTTTTAAAATCAGATCTAAAGGGGGTAAAATATGCCTAAATTGGCAAATTTTCAAAGGAAACCTCTTAGGGTCTATTCCTTACCACTAGATGCCCACTTACTTGATTAATTTGATCTCATATTTTAGCCAAGAATTCACAAGCCTTATTGCTGTAAGACTTTAGATTATATGTGGTATTATTAGCCATGTTCATTTTGGATACAGTAATTTTTATCAATTAAACTAGGCTTTAACGGGGTTTTGGGGTTTTGGGGTTTTGGGGTTTTGGGG